TGTCATAGTCAAGGTTGGAAATATATATATTAGTTGATTATATTATTTTCCTATACGGGTAATTAGGAAAGATTTGTTTACAGAATTCATGGATATTTAAGGGTTAATATCACAAAATATATATATATATATATATATATATTCATAATTATGATGATTATAAATTTTTCTCTACCAAAAAAAATTATAATCATCATAATTATGAATTAATGTCTCTTTCTTTACCAATATTAATTCCACATGTATATATTTATCTATAAAAAAATAACGAGAGGGGCAAAATATATGATATATCCATCCACGTCTTACATGCATTGAAAACAACATTCTTTTTTTGGAATTCCATTAAAAGAATAAAGAAAAAGAGAAAAGGGTATTCTTATAATAAAATTATTTTATAATATATATCTAAGATAATATTTAGAGAGAGAGAGAGAGAATGGATCGACTTATTTTAAGAGTAAGTCTACTTAAATTTACTCTACTCAATAATTCATGTTTTATATCAAATTTCGTCAATTCAACCGCTAAATTAAAAGTTCTTAATACATAAATTAGGTTTGAAATTTTTTCAAAAATTTAAAAATTATTTGATATTCCATTTCATTAATTTAAATTGATAGATAATCATAAAAATATTGTATATGTTGATTTGAATATATTTAACAAAGTATCAAATAATTTTCAAATATTTTAAAAATTTACAAATTTAATATATGTATTAAGAAATTTTAATTCAATGGTTGGATCATTGAAATATGATGTAAAACATGAGTTATTAAATGGAGTAAGTATAAGTATTTTGCAAATTTAATCTATGTATTAAAATTTTTTAATTCAATAGTTGGATCATTGAAATATGATGTAAAACATTAGTTATCGAATAAAATAAACATAAATAAAATTACTCTTGATATGTGTGAATCCCTCCTCACACACACACACACACACACACACACATATATATATATATATATATATGAAGAGGGTTCAAATTATACTGGTATAAATTTTACAACTATTATACCATTTAATAACTTTCAATTGAATGATATTTTATTAAAATCTAGTATTAGATTGGAACTTCATTTTAAGATCATATATATAAATTTCTATATTAATAGAAAATTAATAGATACCTCATTCATAAGGATTTTGGCTTTTCTAAAGTAAAAGAATTTCACTTTAGAGTATAAAGTACAATAATAACCGTTGATTAAAAAAGCATTGATAAATATTAGTTAATTTTGAATTTTGTTATACATGTACTTGATTTTATCATAATTCTCCATCATCGATTTTATTAATTAATGATTATTATTGCACTTTATTCTTTAAATTGCACCCTTCACTTTAAAAGAATTAAAATCTCATTCATATAAATCAAAACTCACATAATACATGCTTTTAAAAATATACTAAAATATGAATAATTTGCTTATATTTTTATTCATATTCAATTTTAACAAAACTCGTTATACACATTGAAGGTAATACAAAGTTTCAATCTGACGGTAGATTTTGACAAAACATCATTAAATTAAAAATTATTAAATAATGTAATAATTGTTAAAGTTATATCAACGTAATTTCATCCATATATTATAAATATATTTATGTGTTATTATAGGATCGCATGGATTTCAATAATTATTATATCTGATGACTCTGGTTACATTGTGTTAAAATATTATTGCAAGACTTTTTCAATTGTTCTCCTATCTTATATGATAATGTTTGAATTAATTTTTGTCATAAAACCACTATCTCTAATTTGAGAGCTTGATATATATATATATATATA